AAGAAGAAAAGGTTCCATACAAGTAAAATGCTATTACGCCGCTAGAATGCGGAGGGAAAATTTGCCAAGGGATTTTGCGACGGAACCTGGCGGCCAGAATTTCCCTCTCCACGATGTGTACAGGAAATTGAGAAACACGTGTTAAGAGAAACGCTTTTGACAAAAAGAAAACTACGAAAATCCGTTTTTAAATTATTGCGAAAATCCAAGAAGAAACATTTTATCAAAGGGCGTTTCTTCTTGGATTTTTCGCAATAATTTTAAAACGGATTTTCGTAGTTTTTTTTTTCCTGAAAATAACTAATCCATGAATTAATTTACTTGCACCAAAAATATTTTCTTTTCCTTTACAGTTTAACCACTTGCGCTAAGACTAAACTTCATGGTTGCGGTGCCATGCGCTACAATATAACAAGCGGTAAAGTGTCTCATTTACGCCGCTCCGCATCTGCGAGTGCAATCCAGAGCTGTAACTCGAGAAATAAACAATCTCGTTGTTAGGCGACGTGTGCACCACGTTATTTTCATTTTTGCGATAAATGCTTATCGACGTAGTTGTTCACATCGCTCGCGGTTTGAGACAAAAGCATCTCGACGTGCGTGGCACGTCTTTTTAGCGCAAGTGGTTAAAGAAATTTTAAACGATATTCATTTTATGAACTCTTGATAACGTGACCTTCGAACTTCGACACCGGTTTCAAGCTTTGGCAACAGATATATCAGACATGCACAGCTGTTTCCCTCTATGATGGAACGGAGCCACAGCCACGTCTGTTGCAGAGAGGTTTTCCTTCTTTACAATACATATTCTTTGATTCTAACCTCCATGGTACCGTATACTAGGATTAAACCCATTTTGTTTTATACGAGAACAGGTACTTTCTTTAATTCATGCACTGCACATGCGATTCTCGAGAATACTGGAAACCAAAACTTGCAGGAAAGTTGCTTTGCCTTTCTAAAAGACAATCAAATTAGAGCTGCGAAAATTGGCTCTATGCCAAGCTACCGAATGACACTCACGTGATACATAACTTCGCCAAAAAGTTATTCTTCCGACATCGGCGCAAAAATCGCTTTTTTTGGCGGGATCGTTGTATGAACTTCCCTGACTTTTCCAGATTTTGACAAAAATACTTAAATTCCCTGACTTTTCCCTGACTTTTGGTGCAATTTCTTCCTGACTTTTCCCGTTTTTTCCAGGTAGCGTGGCAACCCTGGCATACCTTTCTTTAAGCATAGCATTGAACAAATCTGTAAAACAGAGAGTTCGTAAATTTAGTAGTGAAATTGAAGAAGCAGCAATTATGGCTTGCTAATACGTAAAGAGCAATTATAGAGCTATTAGAACTTATTGACATAAGTTGGATGCATATTTTGTTGGTACATTAGCCAAGATGTAGCTGCAACTAGTTGCCATAAGAGAAATTCAATTTTCTTTCAAGGAGAGTTAGTTAGTACCCGCAGCAATGGAACTTGTTCCTCTTCCAGTGGAGTCGTCCATCTAACTGATTCGAAGTATCTGCAAAGGAGTGCTAAGAGTGAAGAGAAAGTGTAGCACAAAAAATTGCTATTGACAGCCATATTAGGAGGACAGGGTTTCAGAGCTATACTTTTGGAGGGTTGGTACAGCCTTAGGGGTTTTGTGGCATATGATTAAATACTTATAGGAGATATAATTTAAGTTTGCTACGATAGTATCAAGAAACAATTAAATTGAAAAATTGTTTCTTGATAATAATGCATTTAAATTGCATTATGTATATTTCTATGTAAGTTTGCTAAGATAATATCAAAAAACAATTAAATTGAAAAATTAAAGCTCAGTTGGGAGGCAGAATAATGAATAATAAGTTTTTTTAATTAAAATGCATTTACATAATTTCATATTATTTATCTATACTAATTTCATTTTTTTTTCATATCCACTTTCATTTTAAAAAATAATTATAAAATTCTTATTCAAAATTTTCCCCACAATTCAAAAATATAATTATTTATAACATTTAGAGAAGACCTTCTCTAAAAATTAAAAAATCTAACAATTCTTTACTTATAAATTAGAAATTCGAATTTCTAATACCATTTTTCATAAACCAATACTATACTTTTAATCCAATGCAAGAAGAAACAGCAATATGTATTCAGATTTTCAACATAATAATGATTAGCAACTTCAATATGATATTTTCAGTTGCACTAAATAAAACTTTCTGCAAAAAAAAATTTCATATCACAAAACTTGGAATATATCATGCAAGAAAAATCATTTCCATTTTTCAATTCAGCTTGGACGAGAAAAGCAACTTTGAACTAACTTTCAATGGAGAAGATTGCTGATGCATAAATTACATGATGAAATAGCTGTAGTAATAACTTATTCACAGAAAGAACGATGACCTCGATAATCAATAGATTGCGTTGTTGAAAATAAACTCGGAATCTTCTTGCACATTAATTCATTTTCATTACACTAGATTAATTTTTAAGAATGGTTTCCTTTACACTTTAGGCACAATGATTTTACTGATGGAAATACTTTTCGATGGCACACAGTTTTTAATCACAAGAAGACAGTTACTCTTGATTCCGGAATCAACACATTTCATTGACAATGATTAAATTAGATGTTATAGCAGTCCCATGCACAAAATTTTAATATTCTATGGCTAATTGCTTTTGAGTAATGTGCGACACATATGTATGTACAGACGTCACTAAAAATCCTTTTTAAATCCACTTTATAATCCATTTTGGAAGAAAAGTGCCTGTTATTCTGTCTGTACGTACAGATGTCGCAGAAAAAATATCATACATGGCTTTGGGAACAGTCAAAATGGATATTTCCATTGAAATATGTTACCCGAAATTTTTTACAATTATGATATTTTCTTTATTTTGTATAAGGAAGTAAAAATAGTCATTTTTAAAAATAACAACAAATGATATGTACAATATGTAGCATGAAAAATTATCTTTTCCTGATGTGATGCGTAAAGTCACATCACGTCTACAAGGTCCTCATTACCTGGAAGATTTCTCAGGAGCTTTCATCACTGACTTCCAGGCCGCTTATCAATTAATTTCATATCAACATACACATCTATTTAAACTTCTGAAACTTATAAATAAAATAACACACAATTTTTACTTCAACATGCCCCGTAAAGCATGAATTATCCTTCTTCATACAAAAATAAATTGCACAGCTGCCAGACTGAAAATATAAAAAAATGAAGAGCTTGTTGCATTTAAAACTGTGAGTTTCTGAAATGTGTTCACATCATGTGGCAGTAACATTTCAAAAGAACTCCAAACTCATTTAAACACACTTTATAACATATTAATTAGGTTTTTAACTATTTATAAGATAATTCTGACTTAAGAAAAATTTTATGTCCTCTGGCTAATTTCAATTTACTATTTTCTTACACTTTTATACTGAGAAAATCCTCAGCAAGGAAAGAAAGCTTTAATTTATCTAAGCACTTTTAAACATGATGAAAATAAAATAAAATAATAAATGTACATACTATTGTGTGCATAAACTTAGAATTGCACCTTATTAGTGAAAAATAAAATTAAATACAAATAGGAACTGAATGAACATCGGTTGAATCTTCATATAAAGCTTTACAAATGTATACAGTAGAGACTTCAGATCAAACAGACACTTCAGATCAAACAGAATTTAATAAAAAATAATAATAATAATAAATCTGAAAGGTTTCAGATTTTAATGGTCACTTAAAAGGGTTTGTTAAGGTTTTTTACGCTCTCGCAGTTTACCAGTCTGTTGTTATACTCACTACAACTCCCTTTTTTTTCTTTTTCTTCCCCCCCCGGTCTTGTCAGCTTTATTATCAAACACCATTTTCTTCACACACCATATACAATTCAACAACAAAAATTGTAAAAAAGCTGCATAGCAGCATATATTTAGAATTACTGATGCAGCGTTACACATTGGCATAGCAATTTTTTTCAATCATTTCTCATTTCATGATATCAATGCTCAGTTTTCTTAGTAAGACAGCTTGCAAAACTTTTTTGATCTTTTTATTATTAATGTTTTGTATGTTAACTTTATTCATTAACTATAATATTCTTCGCACTCTATACAAATTCTCTCTATACAAACTCGCACTCTATACAAATTCGCACACTATACAAAATTCAGTTCAATAACAAAATCTCAAAATATTTAAAAACAGCATATCTTTAGAATTTCTGATACAAAATCTCGTGCTCTGGAGATAAAAATGTTTTATTCCATACAGTTTTGTCACTGCTTGCTTTCAAATTGTTGAGCTTATTAATCAAAAATTCATTAAAAGTATACAAAATATGAAATATAAAATTCAAAATTTGGACTTCCACATGCAAATGTTCGGGTGGTTTACTATGTTATTCAAAATTTGATGGCCCTAGCTACCATCGTTTTTTTATAATGAGAGGAACATATATATATGCATGCAGATTCTTCATTGTTTCATCTCTTTAAAAGTAATGCAGGGTGATAATGTTTGATGGCACAATTTGAAAAGCGATTCGATGTTTCCAAATGAGGCTAAATCCCATTTTGAGATTAACAGACCCTTTTGGGCTAAAAAGAAATATGCTGTAAATCATTAAAGGTAGAGAAAGAAATTTGCCCAATTTAAGTTTCCCCTAAATTTAATTCATAGCTGAAAAAACATTTTCTTTAGTAAAGGCTAAAAATTAAAAACCAGAAACTTCGGTGATCTATTTTGAGAGCACGATATGTGTTGAAAATTAGGAATCTTCTAGTAAAACCAACGGAGTTAGCATCCATGATATTCACATAAAATAAAAGAGAACTTAAAACAAACTTAGGTCGGATCTAAAATTATACGACATCTTATATCTAAAACTACACAACAACAATTTTTCATTAATTTCCAAAACAGGAGCATTCTATAAAGATCTAATCAGGAACAGCAGATTTATTAAATTATAATAAAAAACAAATATCTTACTTTGCTACCCTTTTATTTTCAAGTTGCTTATTGGGTTCTGCATCAGAATTACTGTCAGTGATTTCTTTGGCATCACCTTAAAATAAGAATATGTTCTTGAAATAAGATTATATAAAACTACAACTTGCAGGCCCATTAATAATCTCTTGATAAAAACTGAAATTATATGCTGTTTAACAGTCCTATTAAACATCATATATCTATAATTTTTTCAACTTAGAAGTTATTATTTTTTATTAAATTCATACAATTAACAAAAATAAAATAGTGTGTTCATCTAATACATGAAATTCAATTTTACTTCCAGTTAATGGACTAGAACGTTGTGGCCCACATCTCAGTCTTATCTGAAAATGGATATTTCATTAGACATCAAAATAGCAATAACTTGGTAATTAAGATTTGCTTATGAGTTGTATCCATCTGCTATCTGCAGCTATGTCTAGCTTTTCATGAGCTTGATCATTTAACACGTTCATGATTTCAACATGTTTATGATTATGTGATTTTCTTTCCCAGTCTGGATTTAGTGAACTGTAAAACTAAGGCTATCAATTTCCTTCAAAATTATTGAACAATGCTGAAAAATCAAGAATATGATAATATTTTTATGGCTAACTCATACAATGAAATTCTAAACTTCAGAGGAAAATGTGCTGTGAAAGCACAATATTGAAAAGTGCAGAAAGATTATAAGAATGGAAGTTAGAAATTGATTTGAAAGAAGATAGATCTTCTTTATCAAAACAATACATTTATTGCTAGCCAGACATGCCCATCATAAATACCTTCACAGCAACCAAAATAACCAATACTCAAAAATCTCCTGTAAAATTTCATTAATGCCATCTCCCAGTTTCAGTGTAGACACAAAGCATGCTTTATAAGCAAATATACTTAAATTACGCTATATATAAAAATGCAATTAATAAAATATAAAATTAATGGTTACTTATTGGAAATACATAATTCATTTCCCAAACAGCCATACCCATTTAAATTTATATTACTAAAATCAGATAAATGTATCTAAATATTATTTTAAAAATGTCCTTAAATTAAATGATGAATTAAATTCCATGAAAACAATTTAGAACATATCAACAAGTGAAAATGCATTATTGGAGGTATTAAGAAAAAAAGGTTCAGTGTAATATTTGTGAACTTGCAGTACTAGATTTGAAGGTTTAAACATAGAATTTTCTTCTTTAGCTACATAAATGCAAATGACAAAAGAGAAGACAATAACAAAAGGAGGGAATGCAGGCAATAACAAAAGGAAGGAAGTTAAGCTAGTGGTGCCATCTTACCAATAAAAAATGCAAACAACTATGAAACAATTTCCTTAAAAGTTGATGTAAAGACGGATTGGAATTCGAATTGTTAACTAGAACTGACAGATTTTTATGAATACACCTCTAGAAAACTTGATTCACCAACAGATGGTTGGCAGCAACGCTGAGGGGCAGGGGGCTTCCAACCTAAGGTACATTGCCAAACGGGATTAGTGCCATCCTACCCATGAAACAATCTACCATGTTGCGACCTCACAGAGCAAGGGCAGACAAGGCAGTACTAGTACAGTCCCTGCCAAGCCTTATTCTGTCCCGAGAACCCTCAGGCCTTTGTGAAGTCTGTTTTTCTACCCCCGCGGTTGAGACTGCCTAGGTACAGATCCTAACCAGTACTTCCCAGGCATTCGCCCGAGTCAACCCCCGGGGGTGAAAGTATTGGGCAGCAGGATGATTTATATGTTTCTTTTTTTCCTAACATATGCCTCATATTCCTTAGCACGGAATTTTAAGGCTCTCTTTGTTTGACCAACTGGCAAGGAATCCTGTGTATACTCTAGGAGTTTATATCTGGAATGGTGTCTTCATGTACAAAACTGGAAATTTTATTGATAAAAGAGAAGATGGTCTAATGTAAAGCTTAATTTCTATAAAATACATGCAGCTTTATAGCTAATTGATGGAAACAAAGAATTCACAACATAATTCTTATAATCTCCTAAAATAAGAGAGACTGCTCTTAGGCATGTTGAGGTCAGAGCTTTTTAACTGCTTTTAACCTAACATTATTCACCAAGTAAATTATTTCATAGTTGTTTCTCTCTTTTTTTTTTTTTTTTTTATAAAATAGACAGTGCTATTAGCTTGCCTTCCTTCTCTCTCACTGCTAATGCCTTAGCACAAGCTTCTCTTCTGTAACTGAAGAAGAAAGTTCTGTGTTTAAACCTTCGAAATAAGTGCCATTAAATTAACAATGTTATGCTGATTCTTTTTGCCTTAACACCTTCAATAATCACTAGTCAGCATGTTATTTTAACTCAGAAGTGCAGTTTAGGAAACACAGTCAAATTACTAAGAACCTGAATGAAAAGTACAGGACAGCCTGATTAAAGAATTCATCAGTCTCTAAAACTGAAGAAACTCGTATATCCATTATTTTATAAAATCAATAATATGAGGAGACTGAATACTTAGAATAAAAAAGGACATTCCTGCATTCAATAGAAAACTACACAAGTATAGCTTTTACAGGTTTTAAAACAGAATTAACAACCAGATAGGTACAGATTGTACAGACTTTTCAAATACTGTAAATTTCATTCCTTTATTTTCCAGGAAGTACAGCCCCTATTGAAAGATCATTTTCCGTTTTCAAAAGCAAACAATACAATGTCATACAGCATAATGATTTACATTACATTATGATGTTGAAAGCTCAAACTTTAATCAGTAAGACAGCTTTTCCTGAAAAACACTCATGGCAAGATCACTGCAAAATAATACTGTCTAACTCTAATACAAACTTAAATTTCATATGGTTTCTTTTACCACAGCTCAAAACCTTCATGTGACTTTTCTATCTTTTTTCCTCCATTAAGAATAGAAAATGATACCATTTGTGCCATCCCAAAGTCCTGTTTTTGTCATGTGGAAACATGGTCAGCTTAGTGGCTGTAACATGTCTACTAAAAAGATTTAGTCCGTTAAGTTATTAAGGTCAGAAGTTCAAATGCATAATAAAATGATTACATAAAGCTTAAGAGCTTTCTTATTATAGTTTTTGTCAATTTTTAGAATGCTTCAAAATTTGTTAATTTTAACTGCAATTTCTGAAAAGAACTGTATGACAAGCTTTTTCTCACAGTTTAAAAATCTTTTAATACAATATTAAGAAATTGTGGTGATGGCGATAAGGAGCGCGCCTTGCGCCCTCCGATAAGTGTGGCAACCCTAGAGGAGAAGTTTCTTACGAGTAGCGAGCAGAGCGAAACAGGCAGGCTGTCGGGCAGTGTGCGCGAAGTTCCGAAATAAAGCTTAATTTTTATTGTGCACTATGTCTTGTTAATATTTATATTAATGCAGTAAGAACATAATCTGTGATATGGAATTCGAGGATTGGTGGTAAAACATAACAGGAAATCACCATAAAATCATTGTGAATTAATTTATTAAACTTTGTATAAAACATAGAAAAATTATATAAAATTTAGAAAACAAAATATAAACTAATTAAAATTTAAAACTACAGGAAGTATATCTTTAATTTCAGAGACAAAAGAAGAATATTTGAATAATTACCATTAGCATTTTGAGTGCTCAAACATTCCAATGCAGATGCAACAGCCTAAAATAGTAATAATAAATAACAATAACAACAAATCAGAAATTCCAAATACCACACATGTCTAAAAAACTCTGAGCAGTAATTTAATATTTTGGCACTTTCTGATTATCCCCACCCTCATCAGGATATCACAAACCTGTTGTTGACTTTGGAAACCATTCGTAAACTTGTTGGCCACTTAGAACAGAGATGTTTGTTTGGGTATCTTTATGTCTATTTCAATGTTGCATCCAGTGCCATACCTACTTTTAACATTCCTCTTTTTTTTTTTTTTTTTTTTTTTTTTAATTTAAGAAATTAAAGAATCTTCTCCCCATACATACAAAAAATCTTTCTTCACTTAAAAAAAAAAAAAAAAAAAAAAAAAAAATCACAAACTTGGCATTGGACACCAACCATTATCACAACTGCCAAAGAACGGTTGATATACAGATGGAGGACAAAATAATATGAACATCTGTGAAATAATGGAAAATCTTTATTAATAGTGGGTTGGGCCGCCCTTTGACTGAAGTACAGATTAAATGCAATGTGGGATAGATGCATAAAAGGTCATGGACAATATTTAAAGGATTATTAAGCCATTTCTATCGCAGAGCGGTCTACAATTTCGAAAGTCCAGATGGAGATGAAAATCGGGAACGAAATTTGGACTCCAAATATGCCCATAAATGTTCAATAATATTCAAGTCCGGAGACTGAGGGGGCCAAGCAAGATGTTCAATTGCATCATCATGCTTTTCAAACTATCTTAAATACACCTAGCAGTGTGGATAGGGGCGTTGGCATCATGAAAAAGCATTCACTCCCCAGAGAATACAATCTGGACAAAATGATGGACATGATCCTCCAAGAATGCTTAGATAGTGATTGGATGTGTGATCCTCCCATGCAGAATAACAAGTGGCCTAAGACGACTGTGCCAAGATATCGCACCCCATACCATAATGGCGCCATCCCCTTGCTTCACAGTCGGCAAGAGGCAGTTGGGATGAAACGCTTCTTTGGGCGTTCTTCAGACATAAATGGGTCTGGTTGTCTGAAATGGGGTGAATGATGATTCATCTGACCATATTACCTGTTTTTCACTGCTGTGGGGATCAGCCTTTGTGATCTCTGCAACCACAAGCATCGCTTGAAAGCATTAGTTGCTTTCACCAAGGGTTTACGAATTGCCAAATGTTCCGAAATGCCGAATAAATGTTCGCAGCAGAAAATTCCAAAATGCCGAATAAATGTTCCCTTTTAACAGTTTTTGTTGAAATGGGGTCCAGGAGATGCCTGTTCATTTTGGATGCTATCTCGGATAACGATTGCTTGTGCTTTCGAGCTACTATGCGCTTCAAGACCCATCTATCCCTATCAGCCAGCTTTGACTTTCGGCCACTGTTGTGCTTTGAAGACGTCGTCTTACCCTCTTTCGTGTATGCTGTCATAACGGCTGATAGCGTACTCCTTGCACACCTCACAAGATTTGCTGTTTCTGTAACCGATGCTCCACTTAAACGTGCTCCAACTATCATTCCCCTTTCGAACTCTGACAGGTCTGACATTTAAACTTTTCACAGGCAGTTTGATCGAAGCAGCCAAAGCAGGTGACTGCTGTTGAAAGACTGATACCTTCCCTCTTCACGCTCACTAGGTGGCAGACTTCTGTTGCAGGTGGTGCGGCTGTACTGCAGGTGTGAAATATGTCATACTTTTTTCACAGGTGTTCACATTATTTTGTCCTCCATCTGCATATTCCAACATAACATATATTCCTACAAAATAATAAAAATAAAAGAGGGTGCATTCCAAAGTTCTATATGATTCATTATGGCAAAAACAAATGTACTTAACACAAAAAGAAATTCCAATCAGTAAAGTGATTGTTGAATTTCAAAAGAGCTAATTCATAAATATTCATGTGCCATGCCTATACCTGGGTTGGCCCAAAATTACCACTTGGTGATGTGGTGCATTGACTCACAACTACTTTTTTGCTGCTTTTTGGTGAGTAGATAATCCAAAAGTACCAACATTTTAAACATCTAAAGAAGAATCATATCTTGAATGGGTATTGAATAGGAAGTAACTTAGTTACACATTTACTAAAAATCATACTTACTAATCTCATAAATGCAGAAAATTTGACTCGTTTAAAAACCTCATCTTTTTTATGACTGAGATCTAAATAAAAAAGGTTACTTCTGAATAAAATCCTTGATACATTCTTAGCAAATGAAAATAATTGTAGATAATCAAGACGATCAAATATAATCAGTATGTATCAATTTTAAAAATAAAATATTTTATAAAACATACAAGAAAGAAACCTAATATGGCAGAATACAGACGATTTACGACTATCAGCAATAAACAAATCTTTTTAATTCAGTTTAATTGATTTTAACAATATATAATTTAAATGAATGATAAAAGAAATGCAATAAAATGATGAAAAGAAAGAATGACAGTATCAAAAAATTTAGCTAGATATTCGAAAAGTAAATGTAACTACCAATCATTAGAAGCATTTAAAGAAATTTATTTATTACAAAAAAAATTACAAGCATTCCATATTTCATAGGAAGTACTATTACAATATGCATAATAAACAGTCAAAATTTATTAACAAAAAATATTTAAATTTTAATATTTTAACACAGTCATCATAATGACTGATTTTTAAAAAAAATTAATTGACTGCAAAGTCACTATTGCGCCACCATTTCATTGCCAATATAGAACTTCCTGCATACAATTTCATAAAACTTCCAAAGCAATATGCAGATTCCCATCATCTTTCTGTCCTTTTAGTACCCCAAAATTTAAGATCTGCTTTTGATCGTCGTGCAACATCCAAATGCACAGCCATATTGGTAGTAGTTTGCTGGCATATTTACATATTTACTATCAGGCCAATGTATTAATATTTATTTATTTATTTATTACAAATGCCCAGAAGCTTCACTATGATGGCATTAGATCTCTAGCCTTGTAATATTTCTGAACTTTACAGTTTAAAAACAAAAGTGCAAAGCACAAGTCAAGATGAGTAGCATCAAAAATTTGTTGTCGTCCGTACACTGGACATAAGGGAGAATCACAATGCCCAAGCCAATACAAGTATGTGGGCAAACAATCATGGCCCGTAGTAAGGCGCAAAAGTGCCACAGCTGCATTTCTAGGAAAATCTGGGATCAACTGTGTATCCTCAAGCAGTGATGCCCGTGTCTTACCGGCAGAGTCACACAGTGCTCTCTGCTTTATCCTGGAGGTATATCTTCCTTTTATCAGGAGTCTGACTGAATGAAATGAGAGGCTTTTCAAAGGTCTCTGGAGGACCCTTGCATCCTTTTTCACCAAAAAGTCAGCAGCCTCATTTCCAGGAATCCCGCAATGTGCTGGGATCCACTGGAAAGAAACAGAGATTAATATTGAGAGCTCTCTGCACTCCAGAATGTGGGTATTATCTCTATATTGTATTGTCTGTTTGCAAAAGATTGAAGAGCAGACAGGGAGCCCGATAAAATAACTGCCCTGCAGAATAATGAAGGGTGGGTAGGCAGTTGCTTCAATGCAATAAAAATAGCCTCAATTTCGCCATCATAATGGGGGGAATGAGCATCTGTTGGTGCATAGCATGAAAAAAGATCACAACACATACCGACTCTCGCTCCTTCTTCATCATTAAACATTGATCCATCTGTGTAGACATGTTACCATGTGTCTCTATGGTATTTGTTTCCAGTGGTAGATAGAGCAAATGTATGAACTTGTTGTTCACTCATATGACTCTTATTAACCTGTATATCCAGCTTCAGACACACAGAGATCCCTCCAAATTCCAAAGGGTAAACAGGGCTACAGAGAAGTTCAGGACTGGGTGGACATTCATGTCAGTGCAGCAGAATAAGCATATTGTATAAACCCTTTTTTGAGTTTTAACATTTATCTCTGTGTTGTGTCGTAATTTCTTCAAAACGTATTGTTGGGCAGGCGAATTAGCTTTTCATAAAAAAGAAGTGCATCTCTTTTTTTATGAAAGTGATATGTTTCTTACTGGAGGGTTTTAAGTTAAACACTGTATTGCTAGAATAGAAGTGGTTCTAACAGTGCCTATAATAATATGGAGAGCTTGGTTTTGGACAGTTTCAAGTTTTTGAATAGAACTAGTAGCAGCAGACACCAGAACTTCGTTACAATAACTGAAGATTGGCAGAATGAAAAGCTTGAAGGTGGTATACAAAGTGTTTCGGCTGCAACCTCATTTTCAACCAGCCAACCATTTAAGAACAGAAAGTCTTTTAACAATTTTTCCATATGCACAATCAACATATTTATTCCAACTCAACCTAGAATCAAGAATGCAACCTAAATATGTGTTTTCTACTCTTTGATTTGCCATACCCTGGAATTTAAGGTTAAGTACAAATAGATGCCAATTTAGGGAGAAAAACTGACAGGTGTTTTTGGATTTGTTAACAGACATGGCATTGTTAGAACACCAAAAAATGAGTTGCTCAAGGGCTTTATTAATTATAGCATTAACCCTTTGCAGCATGGTGTGTCCGGTATGGGCACACCTAAAAGTTTCCTTCTGTACACACAGAAAAATTGAATGAAAAAAGACATAAAGGTTACTCTGAAGCTTCTTTATTTATAGTAAATGGTAACTCAACACAAACCAGTCCATATATTTTAGCCATGTTTTCTTTGAAAAGTGAAGATCTTTAAAAACTAATCTTCAAGACCTTTTTTAGGGTACAAAAGAAATTGTTTGAAAATAAATTTCTATGCAATTTTTTTGGCTGTATGCTAATCTCCTTATTCTATATTAGTTTTAAATTTTTATTTTGAAATCTTGCCTAAAATAGAACGGTGAACCCGAGGAGTGCCCAAACCTGGCACACCAAGACTCTGAGACAACTGAGAGACTATTCTTTGTTTCTCCACATGTCATTACTCAGTTCATTGACAACAGAAAGGTGGGTCCACATCTGTGTTTTATTTCCTGTTTTTCTCTTTCTTCTTTTTTCTCTCTTTTTTTTGGGGGGGGGGTGACGTTTGGTTATTAACTAACAAATCATTGAGTGATTTTCTGAAGGTCAGGTGTAATTTTATCAGTTAGCTGTCTGGTTTTTTAATAAAGCACTTCTCTTTCGCTTTCTTCAAAGTTTCACTAGCGCTACATTTAGTAGTTTTAAGTAGTAGACATTTATCTAATTTTATTTAAGAGTTTATGATTTCTAATTGTAGATATAATATTAGTTTCCTTTTGCGGATTTTTAATTATTTTCCAAACGAATCGGAGAGGGCTGACCATTTCTGAAGCACTGAAAGTGCTACATGAATTGCTTCAGATAGTGAATCTGATACGGATCCTGGTACATGTGCAAAACATGCCATATTGGGTTGTGCTTTTTAAAAGGTGGTGTCACTTTCTTCAAAAAGTACCACCATGAAGAAATTACACTAAAGTGTAAATATGAAATGTAAATATCATACACCCAAGTTACGTTTTTTCCCATTCATACATATGTAATTATCATACAATCAAAAAAGAGCCTTTTAGGGGGATACAAAGTAGCAGGTCTCCACGTGGCACACCCTAGGTAATGCTAAATCTGTTATGGTATTCAGAATCTAGTGTTTCTTAATTGTAGGCAAATTTATTACTCTTTTACGTGCTTCCCACCAATGCTCGTTTCAGCACTCTTTTCGAAGCTCTATTCAATCAGTGTGCCCACTTCAGGCACCCCCACTGAATTAAAATGATAAGTGCTATCTTCACAAAATTTTACTTGTGTACTCCTCTAGGCCTAATTAGACTGCCTACCTTTTATTTTTATCGAAATTCCAACTTTAAAAGGTAGTGTGCCAGAAAGGGTTAAACTTGTCCTGGGTGTTCTTAGACTCACTTGCTCACATAGCCAGGTCATCAGCAAACGGAGCAGTTTTTATCCTGGGAATGCTTTCCAATGAATTGGTCAGATTGTTGATATAAATATTAAACAGCATAGTACTCAAAACAGCACCTTGAGAGATTTCATTTGTTTGAATATGGATAAAGAGTTTCCGAATTTCACTGAACAAAATTGCTGACCAGGGAGCTGTAACGTAACCAGCACTACATATTACCACTAATTCTCGTGGAAATAAGCTTATAAATTAACTTAAGACTCCAGACCTTATCATATGCTGACAAGAAGTCAACACCGGCCACCAAAGCAGATCTGTGGCTATCGAGATTTTGGCTAAGGTAGGCCACCTGTTGGGTAATGAAATGAAAAAGTTACAGATAAGACTGTGCTTGAGAAACCAGTCAATCTAGCGCCGATCATCAGTTCCATAATTTTTGCCAAAATACTTGTAAGGGCTATCAGTCAATATCCATCAAATTCATCGGAAGGTTTGCCCTGCTTATGTATTGGGACAATAATAGCTTTCTTCCAAATTCCTGGTTTGTTAGAGTTTCAGCTTTAGTCAATCAGCATTAAAAGCACTGAAGGACCATTAGGCCCTATCATCTTAATAAGTTCAAGATGGAAACAGTGTAGGCCAGGGCTCTTTCCATTCTTAAGGTATTTAATAGAGGCTTCGAGTTCAAATTCGGTTAAGTCGGCACTAAACACCAACCAAAGCGGGCCAAAACCAATTACAGCTTTGTGAATATTACTTTTCAACATTTTTTTAATTCTCCTGGAATCTTGATTCAGTCTTTGTGATTTAGAATAAAATGAGATAAAAGCATTTGCAGTATTTCCGACACTAGTTAAAATTCCAGACAATCCTTGAAAGGGGCCCTAGTAATTTGGGAAAGGCCAGCCCTTAAGTTGTTAACATACTTAAAAAATTTCTTAGAATCAGATTTATAATTCATCGTGCTGATAACATAATTAAAACTTTTTCGCTTTGCCTTATAAATTTCCTTTTGAAGGGAAGCAACACATTTCCTCCAGTTTTGTACTTCCTAAGCTCTCTTTTGACTGTTCAGCAGAAATACGAGCCTTGTTGTACTATTCTTCAGAGCTTGGAGATGTGAAGACCAGAATGGTTTGTAATAGCGAGGTTTTCCTTTTTAACAACTTTGTGAATTGTCTCACTGAACCTCTTAAACAAAGTATCAATGCTCCCAATACGGAATATATTATCATCTTCAAAACCCTGTTCTAGATCTGCAATCCAGTTGACTTTTTTTGACTTTTTTAAAATTCCATCTGCATTGTGGTCTACTTATATTTGGCATTTCTTTTTTATAAGAGTATTTTCTTGATTGTTGTAATGATGGCTCTGTGTCCAGAGCCTGGGTCATAAATTACATTTCTTGCAGCATTAGGTGCTAGATCATCCGAGGTCAGGATTTATAGATGTGTGGTTGTAAAGGAGGCATGTGGGAACACTGGATGGGTGGTACAGAAAATTTAAGGAGGTTAAGTTGAGTAGATTTTTCTATCACTCTACCTGCACTATTGTAGTCAGCATAGTTCTATCTAATGCTATTAGCATTGAAATCACCCATCAGCACTGTTTTTCTGGAGAAAGAGAGAGTGTCAAAATTGAATTTTGTGTTACCAGGTAGACTGTAGCACATAAAAATTGTAAAATGGACATCGTTTTTTCAAACTTCAGTACAAACCAACTCAGTGCCACTGACAGAGTATAAGTCACTAATAATTGTGAAAGAAGAAGTAAGAGATTTCTTTAGTCCAAACTTCCAACTTATCTTGATTGAGGTAATATATATGGGATTTTAAGGATTCAAAAGTCAGATTAACTTCAACAATGGAAAACAGATCAACATCCTCCTTATCTAGAACAGTTAGGAGTCGAGTCCTTTTTTTCATGTGAGAGGCTGCCAGCATTCCACTGAAGCAGTCTCAAAACTTTACACATCTTGCAAAAATTCCCAGTAAAATGTCCAGAGACACAAGGAAGGAGGCAAAGTGATAGCAAATTTAGTATTAACCAGGGTGCACTGCAAGGAGGCCTGCTACATTACACCCCCAATATATCAATATCGCAAGTTTAAGAGTAGAACTACCTATAGAATTCTGATCTTTTAATCATTATATTAAGGTTACCTTTTTTACCATTACTTGATACTTACACTGTGCAGTTAACTGCCCAATAATCAACACTGTATGCATCAAGTTAAATTTTAACGTAAGAAACAAAACTCTTCTCAAAACCTTTTTTATTCACGCATATCCAAGATAAATTCATGGAAAAATTTATTCAAAATTAATTTTCAAATCAAAATATACACTTAATTAATAAAAACTTCTTTAAGAATTTTATAGAAAGCTAGAAATGTATTGGGGAAAGTGCAGAATCGCCCACTGCTTGGCGCGTTTTTAATTATTGCATATACTCGGTATCCATGTACACATCGACCTATTTTCACTTAAAAAAAATCCCAGAATTGCACAAAAATGGCATTGTGCACTCCCTTGACTTGATCCATGTACACATTGACCTATTTTCACTTAAAAAGTCAAAGAAAATTGATAAAAATTCAATTCTTCTTTCTCTTGTAAAAAGCACCAAACAAACGCCAATCAAATAAGTGGGCAATTCTGCACTTTAGGCAATGTATCCTCCCCCCCCAACAAAAAGAACCACAAGCATTTATTTGTAGTCAAGTCAAATTCAAAATTTCTTCGTTGAAAATAAAATCTCCGATATCTTGCAAAATATGTGATATTTTAATTAAAATAAAATTTCAAAAAGCTCAAACTCATTCAGTTTGTATTTAGTATATAATTAAATCAAAACAGAAAACACAAAAGCTAAATATGACATACTTTTTTGTTTTTCTTTAAGTTCATCAATATGTCTTCGAACATTTTTTCCTAAAAATAGAAATATAGATTTATATGTGACAGAGAGTATTTAATAACAGAAACAAATTCACTCATGATAATTTACAATATGTACACTGCTCAAAAAAAAAAAAAAAAAGGACAGTTCTATATCTCCCGTTCTACTGGGCCGATTGACGAAATTCAAATTGCATTCTTTATGTCTCAAAAGCGTGACTTAGGATATATATTAGATTTATATATAGCTATAGCATAGTTATTTTAACACAAAATCGGACTTTTTCTAAAATAACATACCAATTTTTTTTTCCATATTTTGATTCTACAACTCAAATTATGCCTAAATATTAAATTTTGGTGTGAAATTTACGGAGAAATTCAACAATTTATGTCGGCGCTTTTTATTCAGTTTGCGCCAAAATTAGTTCACTTGGCGAACTTCTTAATATGTGGCAACCTATTTTCATTTCCATTTTTGTATAGTGTGCGAGAGGAAAAAAAGACCCAATCGTTCCTTCTTTCAAAACAATGTTCTTTATATTATATTTTTAATTATAATTGCTATTAATTTTAAGCAATTTTTCCTTTTTCGAATTTCATTTTAATTGTTTAAGTTGCATGGTTTCTTTCGAATAACTGTTTTAGAAATTTCTATTTACTCATTCGAACTGCATAGTTTAAATCAAAGGTGCATCATTTATTTATTTTTTTTCAAATAGTTTTCTTTATGCAATATTTTTAGTCTTTAGTCATAGTTACTATTTTAGGTCATTTTTGAATTTTTAGACTTTTATTTTAATTTTTAGTGTTGCATTGTCTCTTCAGATAATTATTTTAAAATTTTCTATTTATTCATTCAGCCTGAGCATTTTAAATATATTTCTTAATATAAATTTTTCACAATTTGATTTTATTTATTTAAATTGAGTTTCTTTCGGAAGAATACTTTGTAACCCAGATTACGATGTGCTTGAAAACTGCATATATTAAAAGAGAAATTACAGTGAAGCACAGCTAACACGCCTTTCAATGTTCCGTTCAGAAAAGGTATATAAAATAAGACAGATGTATAATGTAACATTTCAACTTAGGATGACTTGCATACACTTTAAACAGTTTTATCATTGTGCCCATTGCTTTACACAGTTTTATTCTACATTTGGTTTCTTAATATATTATTCATATTTTAGTCAAATATTTTATTTTTGAAATCGCAAGAATCAAATATCATAAGATTAAAAAGTTTTAAATTAAAAAAAAAAAAATACAAATACTAAATTTTATGCAAAAATTTATTTTTTCTTTTCTTTTTCTTCAGGCATTCTGCTTCATTCTTGCTTTTTTTTCTTTAGGCAATCTGCAAATATATCAAAAAGCATCCAACTTTTCGAAACATCTTGCTATTTCTGACAATCATTTTAAATAAAGTTATCGCCTTCCATTTCATAAAGGTCGACAAATGGCCAAGCGGTACACTGTCACTGGTAGTTCACGAGTCGCTGAACACTGGTAGTTTACGAGTAGCTGAACACTGGTAGTTCACTCCGGGGTTCGAATCCCGGAAAACGGGCTGGTTGCATGGGCGTTTTTGTGGATTTTCTAATGTGTATGCCAGCTGGTTTCCCTTAGAAAGTTCTTCACAAAGGCATCCTTTCTTTTAGGCAGATAGCCCTGCTTTGCTGTACTTAATGATCCAATTCAATCCTTTTCATTAGTATTTTGTGAGAGCCTTTATCAGTCTTTAGAGGCTAAGCATTTTGAAGGTATGAGATGAAAGGAAAGACTGGTTTCATCAAGAAGTTTTTTTTTATTTAATTATGACAAAGCACACTAGGGTTATCTGCCTAGTTGATATTTATTCATTTAAGGACTGTGAATGGCTTAGCCGCACAGCGCTTTCGTCAGATTGGTTTGGTTTGTTAGATTACGGCAAAGCACTCGAAGGCTATCTGCCTTAAGGGAGGGATGCTTTCGTGGAGGACTTTCTAAGGAAAACTGGCTTGTATACACGATACACATGGGGAAAACCACAAAAATGCCCACGCAGTCAGCCCGTTCGTGCGATTTGGACCTCGGACCGAACTACAAGTGCTCAGCGACTTTACCGCTCGGCCGCTGTTTCATCACGAGGAAAAAAAAAAAACGTCTTTAGGTGACATCCACATAAATCACTGGATAAACACCTTAATCTTCAAATAATTCGACTGAGAAATCATGGGATTCTCCGTTTATGATACCATATGATGTTCTATAACTTAATCCTATTTATACAACCATATAGTCTAAAACCAGTCGCTCTTCACTTTAATCTGCAATAATATTGTTTTTGTCTTTTCTGTTTACACAAACTCAATTGAAGGTATTTGCTGGTATACACGTCCAAGTGTTTTCTCTCTGAACACCTAAATTCTTTGATGTATCCTGAAAGTATATTTAAAAGCGTCCAACTTTTTGGAACATCTTGATATGTCTGAAAGCCAAATTTCCCTGAAAATTTTTGCTTACTTTTGTCTCTAATTTTCTTCTTTCTTTCTACAGTTATTTTCAGAGCTCACACAAGAAAATTAAGATTTTTAGATTGCTAGACTTCCATAAATTTTGCATTCTTGTCATTTTTTTTAAAATATCAATTACATAAATTGCATTTCAGCTGAAGACAGCTTTTTATTTTCTAGTCATTTTAACTATAAATAAAGTTTAAAGCGGAGTCCAAAGGACGAGGAACGAGTTCTGACTGTCGTACATGTAAAACGTACATCTGCTCGCTCCTGATTTTGTGCTATTGGAACTCTTCTTTTACTATACCTGATCAGAGTGCATGCCGCTGTACCAGTAGGCCGTCATTGCAATAGACTCTGATTGCTTTCCCCATTGCTGCATTCTCTGCCATCCGCTCCACCATGGATCGAATGATTGATTTTATTGCCGCTGAGATTACCAATTTAGAATGCGTCGAAGAAGCTGATGGATCTCTCTCATCTAAAGATGCACGAGACCTTAAATTCCTTCGTCGTCTCAAACTTTTCATCGACAGAGAATTGAATGCTGATCGTTCTTCTACTTCTCTCTTCCCAAACCAAACATCCCTGCTCCTAAGGTTAATGACAACGATTCTTCAATAACTGGAATCAACAAAACTAATGCCAGACGAGCCAGCAGCCCTGCGCGCTCAGATGAAGAGCAATCGAAAAAATATAAAGCATTGGATGAAGACAGCTCCGATACGGACTCAGGTCCTAAAGGAGATATTACTAGAAGACCAAGAAAACCCTCTCGAAAGCCTACCCTGACGGATTCCTCTGATTCGACAGCTGAGCCGACCACGGAAACAACTTCTGATAATATGGATACAGCCCCAGACGTACAGGTTGCAGATCCGGCTACTCGAAACACCAAAAAATAACGTCATGGACACTTCTCCCAGTCCGCAACCAATGCTGACGCTACCATCGACCAATCCCCTAACACGAGCTCAAGAAAACCACCGCCTATCATGGTTAAAGATGAAAGATTCAAATTTTCAGAAGTTAAAGCACTCCTCATCGGTTATAATCTGCAGGCTGAAAAGGATTACTTTTGGTCAATTAATTCAGAGTGGATTTAAAATCCAATCCAAATCCCCTGCGCTTTATAAACAAATCGTACAGGTCTTCAAAGACAAAGGTATTCGATATCACTGCTTCGAATTGCCTGAAAACAAATATGTTAAGGCTGTTATTAGACATCTCCCCAATGACACGGACGAAAGCGAAATTGCTGAGTATTTAACTCAAAAAGGTTATAGCATCATCAGAGTGAATCAACTCAAACGAAGACGAGACGGAAAAGTCATAAATATGCCTCTCTTCTTGATCACCCTGGATCGTAAGGAAAAAAGTAAAAATATCTTCGACGAAGAATTCATCCTAGGAATGAGGATTAAAGTAGAAAGATACCGAGGTAGAGCTGGACCCCTGCAGTGTTTTCGCTGCCAGGGATTTCACCATGCTCAGACACATTGCCACCATGAACCTCGGTGCGTTAAGTGTGGAGACGCTCATCAATCGTTTTTTTATGTAAAAAAGACAAGAATACTCCCCCTACGTGTGCGAATTGTAAGATGACTGGACACACTGCGAACTTTCGTGGTTGTGAAAAGTTTCCAAAGCCTAAAGCTCAGGTTCAGCCATCATTTTATGTTTATGCAGATCGAGTAATTAGTAACAAATCCTACTCGCAAGCCTTAGCCAGTGGACTTGCCCCTGAAGCGGTAAGCGAAGCTAAAACCATTCTACATGAACTTAAAAGCTTTGTCGCAATTATTCAAAATTCTGGACTTCCCCTGCTCTTCAAGCAACTAACCCAAGAAAAAAAAAACGCTCTACCTCAAGAAAATGTGATCTCAGATAATGGGCCAACACACTAATAATAAGGCAAATTTAATCCGCTTCATGGTGTGGAATTCAAATAGTCTCCGCAATAAAATCTCAGAACTGCAAGAATTTCTGTACGAGCACGATATTGACTTCGCGCTCATTACTGAGACACATGCTCAAAGATGTTACAGTCTGAATATCTCCAACTACAGAATCTATCGCTGTGATAGAACTAGCCATCGAGGCGGAGGTGTCGCCATCTATGTGAAGAGAAATTTACCATCTTGCCTAGTTAAAGAGTGTAAAGACTTTGGTTGCGAGCTGATTACAGTGTGCATTACCCTTCCGGTGTACAAAAATATTTATTTCAGTGCTTTTTATAATCCACCGCATAATGTGTTAACTTATAACCTACTAGACTCAATCCTTCCTCCTGATACTCCTACGATCCTGGCAGGAGACCTAAATGCCAAGAGCATCGCATGGAATTGCCGTAAAGGAAATACAAACGGTAAAACTCTACAAAATTACATTTTAAGCCATCCTGTTGTTATTTACACACCGGACGAATACACTTATCGCCCGGACAGAATAGAATATTCCGACATTCTGGATATTGTTTTGTCCACCCACAACTATCCCCATCACGCTTGAAGTATTGCACGAACTATCCTC